CTGGTCTATACTGCTCCACATATGCTCGCGGTGCAAGGATCCAGTTCGGGATGTAACACCGCGTCTCCAGGCGTTGTTGGGAATCCGGACGTAACTCGGTGGGCCCTCGCGGTCTAAATCCGGGATCCAGGGATGTAACCCTCTGAGAATCCTCGAAGGTTCTGCTGCTCCCGACATTCACTACGTTCATACCGCGTAATTCACAACCATTCACGATACTGTCCGCTGTGGCGGCAGTCACCAGGGACAGGAATGACAATGAGCTGACGTGGATCAGCGCCGCTCACCGTTCTGTGTAGGATGCGGCATGGATGCTTCCAGCATCGTCTCCACTCAAGTGCACATCCCCCGCAGACGTCTACCTCCTTCTGAAATCCTCCGACTTCGTGCAACACGACCTGAACCCCGAGCTCGTGTTCGACGGATGCGAACCGGCACATACGGCCGACGACCCTTCTAGTCCCTACGATCTCGAGCTTGTCCTTCGAAAGTGGTACCCCGTCGACCGCGCGAGAGAACTCCGGTGTTTTGTGCGACAAGAAAACCTCATCGGTGGGTCCGCCGGCAGCATCCACGTTCGCTCACACCCTAACGGAGAACGCTACAGGTATATCCCAGCGCGACCCGAACTACTACGACTTCTGGAACGAGCCGCAGACGCAGGAAAAGGTCGTCAACGCGGTCACCGACTTCTGGGAGAAGCACATCAAAGGCAAGTGGGAACAGACCCAAGGCGACTGTACGTCCTCTCTTCTTTTCGCGCGCATTCTAGCCGCGCGTCTGGATCTTGGATACTGACCGGCGCACCTTCGCACACGTCCTTGTCCCCTTACACGCGCATCTCGCACTTCACACTTCCTTCATGCGAACGCCGCATCCCGGCGCGTTTCCCACCGGAACAGACACCTTCGACTTCCTGCTCACGCGTGATCTCTCACGCGGACACATCGTCGACTTCAACCCGTACCTCCCGCGCACGGACCCGCTCCTCTTCACGTACGAGGAGCTGCACGACCGCTTGCTCGCGCGCACGGGTCCCCACGCAGACGTCGCAGAGTCGCGGCTGCCGGAGTTGCGCGTGGTGGACTCTCCGGCGCATCCGGCGGCGGTGCGTAACGCGCCAGTGCACCAACACAATATGGTGCCGATCGAGGCGCTCGCGATGAGCAGTGGGCGGAATGTGAGCGAGTTCGCGAACGTCTGGCAGGAGGAGATCCGGAAGAGCATGGCGGAGCAGCGCGAGCACAGTGAGGAGGAGGATGTGGGCGCCTAGAAGCCCCAACGCAGTTGAAGAGTCGCCTTGTTGAGGTTTGTTTGAATGTATCATAGACATGGTCCACGCCCGAGCATATTGTACAGTTGTAACGTCATTCGGCTCACCCGTCAGCACACCCTCACTTGCGCGACGCTCGGGTCATGGTCGCTCGCCCGTGCGCTCACCGACGGCGCCCAATTATTCACATGCACATGCTCGACCTTCACGCCCCGGCCCACGATGGCGTCCGAGACGAACAGATGGTCGAGCTGCTCGCTGTTCTGGTCGAACAGGTACGTGTAGCGCTCGATGAGCTCCACGCCCGCCGCCTCGTCGGCCTCGGTGAGCAGCCCTGCGAAGGGCGCGAAGACGGCGCGCGTCTGGACGTATTCGTTGCAGTCCCCGCCGACGATAACGTTTGCGTTGGGATCGAGCGCAAGCAGAGACTTGACGAAGGTCTATGTATGCGCGCCGGGGTCAATTCAGTTCCACTTCCTGCAACAGATAGGGGCACTCACAGCGATGGTCTGCACCTGGCTGATACGCTGCTCAACCCCGCCGTTTACAGGCGGCCGGGCGTCGCCTTGGGTGGACGAGCCGTCGAGCTTCGCGGTAAGGTGCAGGTTGATGGTGAAGAAGCGCGCGCCGGAAGAGGTCTCCCAGGCCGCGACCAGCGGCTTGCGGCTCGCGTCCCACGCGGCGTTGGTCGGGTCGATGCGGCCGGGATTGAAACTACAGGAAACGAATGGTCAGAGCATGTCACAGGCGGGGAGGCAAGATACAGGAGGTACGTGAGGGTGACTTTGCCGTCGGACCCGATGATGGACTCGGTTGCGTCGAGAGCACCTCCGGCAGGTGAGCCGGGAACGAGACTCAGCTTCGTTGCGTTGTACCTACGCCATCCACATAATATGAGCATGCTCACGCACAACACTCCTCCGAAACGGAACAACTGACAAGTACGCCGTGCGGATGTTGCCTCCCGGCTCACCACCGTCCTGGTCGTTCTCAGGAGCGATCTCCAGCGAAGCGTACGTCTTGGTCGTGTTCGCCGCGGTCGCGATGGCCGTAGCGAGCTTCGCGAGGGTGACGTTCGCGCTCACGGTGCCGTCGTCCGTCGACCCGGAGTTATCCTGTATCTCCTGCAGGAAGACGATGTCGGGCCCGTTAAGGAAGTTCGCAATGTGATTCGCGACGGTAGGCAGGTGCGCCGTACGGGGCGCGAGATTCTCGACCTGTTTTCGTCAGGAGTCAGGAAAAGGTCAGAAGGCTGGGTCGTTCAGAGGGGGCCGGATGAAGTGACATACGTTATAGTCTCCGATGGTGAGCGTACAAGCGTCCTTGCTGGGCTTGATGGTCGACGGCGGGATGTCGGGATCGGGAGTCGAGACAACAGTCGGCGCTGTCAAAGGCAGGATGTAGTAGGAGCCAAATCTGCGCAGCGTTATTGGTCAACACGACCAATGCGATCATATCTCCAGTGCAACTTACTGGTAGGCAATGATGCCAGTGATGTCCGAGAAGGTCTTGCCGAGCGAGACAGATGGATTCTTTGTGCCGTCGAGCGGAGAGCCGACAATGACGACCTCGGGATTCGCATCCGGCGGTCCATCTCCTATAAAGCGCGTTCAAGTCATTATATGCTCTTCTCGTCGAAGCCTGGCCGCGATGTGCCCCACCAATTGTCCGGATAGTCAGACCGCCCCGGTGGTTCTTCCCCGTAACAGTCCAATCACCATGCACCCAAAACTCTCCAAAGTCGTTCTCGAAGTCGAGCGCGACCGGTTGGGGCACCGTCACAAGCTGGCCCTCGAGGCTGGCCCAGAAATCCATCCCGAAGTCATCCGGTTGTAGGGTTGCATTCACTGCGTCCACCAAACTCTGATTGTTCGGCACCGAGAGCCATCCATCAGGGCCGGCATCGAGTGCGCTTAGCCTCAGCCGAGGAGGGCTGCGGTCGCGTCCGAGGACGAGCGGAGCGACGGTGTGGTTGGAAGAGAGAATGATGATGTTCTTCGGGGAGTCGATCTCGGTCGCGAAGAGGTTGTTCGGGGATCCGCTCGAGCCGAACTCGGACACGACTCCGGAGAGGGAGACGAGGTCCCCGACCGAGACTGATCCAAGTACCGTCTTGGAGGTAGAAAAGATGCTTAGGCCGTTGGAGACACGAGCATCTTCCACGGGAGGGCCCTGAATCCAAAAGCCGGACGATGACTGAAATGCAGGGTGTGGTCAGACAATTGCTGCACGCAGTCAACTGGTGTGGACGGACGTACCTTTGCGGTAACCACGCCTGTGAGGTTGTTCACGGCCTGCCCTCTTAGTGGGGAAAGGAATGCAGGGCCCTGTATGTCAGTCACGCTCACTGCGCGGGTCAGCACCGTGTGCAGCGTCAGTGCTACCGCGACCTTGATCCAACTTCGGTCGAACATGATGGTGGTTCTGGTCAGAGCGAAGCACCTCGATGGTGTTCATGGCGGGCAGATCTTTTAAAGGCCTAGTGGAGACACTTTAGGCACTGATGAGAACGTGCGTGTCACCGGCGAGAAGATAGCTGCACAATGCCCATGTGGACACCGCCCATCGCAGGCTGCCGCCTTTCGTCGGGCATTCGCACGCACCGTCAAATGCTCCAGAGATCCGCATGGTACCTCAAAGGGAGCATCGCGCTCAACAAGGACAACAGAGGACGTGCGCAGTCCTACTTGTTGACTCAGGGAGGAGCTAACTTGCACTGCACTGCTACGGCAGTCCGGCCGTCCCATCCTGGTACTGGACTGTCTCAGAGCAGAAAGCAGGTCCGGATCCAGCCCCGGCCAAAAGGATTAGACCCTGGGAAGTCATCTCCGAAAAACAAGGCGAGGGAGCGTCGTGCCGCTCCCATTCGTAGAGGTTTCTCACCGTGGGTGTGGATGAACGTGGGGGTGCTGAACAACCTCGGCCGATTCAAAGGCAGGCGCGGGAGGGCGCCCACAAGTCTCGATCGATCGAACGTTCAAAGCGACCTCCGCCATACCACTCGTCCTCGAACCTCTTATACTGCGCTATACAGCACATCAACGGACAGCTGGAGGAACACAATGAGCTCTACTACATCAGGACCGACTTACCCTCTACCGCGCTATGTGTACAAGATCTTGCCCTCGCCCCCACCTAGCCCGATCCCTGAAGAGCTCCCTCTGAGCGACCTTGACCGCAGAGACGGCTTCATCCACCTCTCCACCGCAGCACAGGTGCCCTTCACTGCATCGCTGTTCTTCGACCACCACACGTCACTATCGCTGCTCAAGGTCGACGCGCGCAAGACACTCGAACAGGGCGGTGTCTATCGTTGGGTCGAGAACCTGCCTGGATGTCCGCACCTGTACGCCTCGCGCGACGGCGAATGGATCAACTTGGGAAGTGTAAACGTGCTGGACTGCAAGGAGGTCAGGCGTGATGAGGAACAGGATTGGAAGGAGGTCTTCAAGAGGCTCAGCGATGAGGGGTGGCTGGTCGATGAGTAGGCGGAGTCCTAGGCCTGCTGTGAGTGCCGAAGATGAGAGCCTCGAAGAAAACTGAAGCTGCCTCCAGATCCGTGCCGATGATGGAGAAGAGGAGAAGATGTAAGACATGTACAATACTCTAGATCATGATGCATGATGTCTCTGTCGATGCGGCTGTGTTACAGAGCATGAAGTAGCCGGTGGATATCTAGTCCAGGACTCGGATCTCTGGGGGTCGAGGGCATGGTGGCAAAAAGCAACTCTCTGTCGGGGAGTCGAACCCCGCTTTCGCGCGGTCATTACACATGACAGGCGCGTGTACTAACCGATATACTAACAGAGACTTGTTTGCTCGCTTTTTAAAACATATATAATAGTCCTACACTAGTACATGTCTCAGAATCAGACGTCGAGGTCTTATGAAGGATCGGACATCCCCGATCGCAACGGACACTGTCACACTGGTCAAGTCGGACTCTCTTCTCTTGCCGCTCACAACTCTGCCGATCGTCGAGCGCCGTGGCTTGGGGATTATACAGGCATCGTATGTGCCCTGTGTACCTTTGACCGAGTCGAAGATGAAATAACATGTACCCGTTAAGTAGGTGGCGGCGACTGCGAACGCGCGAACAGGCGGTCCAGTCGAGTGGATTGCTCCCCCGATACTCCCACAGGCTCTCACTCACATCGACCATGACCTCTCTGGATTCTAACAAACATCCGGTGTTCTGGTTCTCCGACGGCTCTCTGGTTCTTCGCGCTCAGTCGTCGCTCTTTCGCGTCCATATATCTCAGCTGTGCCGCAAGTCGACGTTCTTCCGCGATCTCTTCTCTCTGCCACAGCCTGCTCACCCGGCCGAGACTGAGGGTGAACGTATGGAGGGATGTCCAGTCCTTGACCTGCACGATACGCCTGAGGATGTCGCGAACATGGTGAAGGTGATATATGACGGTCCGTACGTGTACACTCATAGTCAGAATCCTGTGCTTGGTGCCCTATCTGCCTGTATTGTGCCAATCGAGGGCCGTGGCTTCCATGCCCAGCATCGGAGTGATTACGCGGGCAGTCTGCTTGGAGTTGGCGATCTTATGCAACGTGTTGCCAAGCTAACGGTGGCCGCTCGCTTTAGGCACTTCACCAATAACGACCGGGACGACTTTGTGGCCGTTTCGGGGTTTCTCCGCATGGCCAGCAAGTACCTCATGGAGGAAGCCATCCGTATGAAGGCCTTAGAGCACCTCCGTCTGGCTTGGCCTTCGACTCTGAAAGGCTGGGACGCGCGCGAGGACGTTGCTCGAGCTCACGAGCTGGAGACCGGCCTGCTGAGGGGGCACAGGTTTCCGAGCCCCATTGTACGCAATCATACCGCACATCAGTCTAACCGAATCCTTTGCTCATACCTCTGCAGGCCGTGATAAATCTGGCGCGCGAGATTGGGGCCGACGACCTACTACCGGCTGCATTTTACGACCTCTCACGATACAGTTACGCACAGATATACGAACCCCACCCCGGAGACCCTCTCCATCCCGATTCATCCCCCTCCGGTTCCTCCCTCTCGCACGCCCTCTCCCCTGCGGACATGCAACGGCTCGCGCTCGGCAAAGAGACCGCCCAGCACGCCATCACCGCGCTCATCCAGAACATGGAATACGCCTCGCCGGAGCCGCAACGGCAGCACCCACGCATCCACCGGCATTCGCGCTCGCGCTCGGCGACGAGAAGCGCGACGTTGTGCGTTACGCCCGCGGCGTGCCGCAAGGACCTGTGTGAGCTGGTCGAGCTCGCGAAGCAGCACTATCTGATGGACCGCGAGCGGGGGTGTGCGGATCCGCTGTACGTCGCGGAGGAGCTCGGCCAGCTGAAGAGCGCGGAGTTCTCGGACTGTGCGGCGTGTGCGACGGATCTGGAGGCGTGGGCGGCGAGGGAGCGGGAGCGGCTTTGGAAGGCCATACCGGACTGGTTCAGGCTGCGGCGATGAGAGCTTATATCTTGAACGTCCACTCGTGGGGGCGGTGCTCGGAAGGCTCGGATATTCCAGTATGGCGCGCCGTGTAGGATTGGTGTAGATCTTGTACCATGCACATGTACGCGTGTTATGTATGTATTCAACAACTGGTTCTGCTGTCTATTTGAGGCTATCAAACGAGTCCGCTGGGCACCCTCAGTTGTCCGAACTGTAGGAGTTCCTGCGCGGCTTGCAACGTGCGGTGACTAGGTATGCGTCGGTGCGTAACACACGTAGGCGCCCGTGCCCGTGCAGTTAGTAGTAAGTAAGTACTCTTGGAAGTTGATCATCATCCCTATCATCCTGTCAGACTACTGTATGAGCCCCATAACCATCCCCGCAGCACTACCAGGCTGACCTTTCTCTCTGTTTTTTAGGTCATTTGGTAGCCAGCCAAGTACTAGTGTGGATAGAGCATCTAACTCACCGCCGCCTGCCAGCCTCCCCGTCACACACTAGCCATCTGAACCTCGGCTAGACGGGTCTCGCGTTGCACAAAGCTCGACTGCGTAAGGGAAACCCTTGACGTGTCTACTATTGGGCATATCCAGATTCGTGTTCTATGTGAGACTCGAACTAGCTGGGCATACGTGCACGACCGCGACACGTCCATCTGTCGCTGGTCGACTGCTGCAAGATTGAAGCACCACATCGAGCGGCCGCAACCCAGTGTGGTGCCTGAACTCAAGTCTGGTGCGCCCTCGAACGCGGGAAGCTCGGGCATCGACATCGATGAAGTTGCGGAGGCATCGTGCGAGCTCATCAACGACCCCCATGTCCAAAACTCACTCAAAGCTCCTACTGCCAGTGGAGGTGAGTAACTCTCACTTGTCAGCGTTGTATAAGCAGAACATCATCAAGTCGAAAGTCAAGCTGCTGTACACTGTCGCTCCCTTTTCCTGAACGGGTGGATGTGCGTGGCATCAACCGCAACGCTAACATTGACGGACGGGTTCGCTTGCGGCTATTTCCATAAGGCAAGACTCGAACAAGCTCTGCACGATTACTCAGACCGCTCCGAGTTCGTTCCACCGTCGGCCCACCCTGAACGTCCAGCCTCGCGGGGCTCGTTATTAATGGTAGTGCGCCTCACTAATCGTCCGCTCAGGACGCGAATGACAGGCTTCTATCAGGAGAAGGACGCGTCACGAGGCGCCTTGCCGCTCAAGAACATTGACGTGCGCCCGCAGAGAAGTCCAGCAGAGATCCGTTATAAACGCATCTTATGCGTCTTGGGAACCTTCGCGCTCAAGGCCTCAAACCTCGGTCACTCGGTGGCAAGTCCCAAGTATGCCGTTCTCTGCAGCAGAGGTGAGTCGCTTTTTCCCTCCTGGCAGACTGTCGAGCCTATGCTCACTCCGAACTACGTAGTCGAAGCTGGTTTCGATCTTCGTCCAGTCCATCCTGTATGGTCTGTGCCAGCCTTGACGAGGGGCGAAGGTTGGAACTCACCATTGACGCAGGCATCTTCGTGACCCTCTTCTTCAACACGGCCACTGCGCTGCTATGGAAGCGTCCGGTGGGGCAGCCGCTACGCTCTGATATGCTTGGGGTTCTCGTACTGATGTTCGGGGTCGCAACCATAGTGAGTGAGACTAGTCTGCTCTGATTCCGTGCGTGTGCCTTCACGGGACGCTCAAGCTCCATCGTCTATCAGCACGTCGCGACCAACTTCTCGCGGATCATACTCGCGTTCATCGTCCACACAGACGCGCCGGGAGGCCCAGCCGCGTTCTTCAACGAGCTCTCCAACTTCACGCAGATGTTCGGCAGCACTTTGTACGTCCTGCAGACTCTACTCGGGGATGCGATGGTGGTGCGGTGTCTCCCCAACTTGCGATCGCCGGTTGAAGGAAGTTCACGTTCACCTATGTCTAGCTCTATCGATGCTATCTCGTTTGGGAGCGGCGCTTCATAGTCGTGGCTTTCCCCTGCATACTCCTCTTGGGCAGCACTGGTGCGTCGAGATCCGGCCGTGCTCGCATGCTGCATACAGCGACTGATTCATGTACGCAGCGACCGGGATCGGTATTCTGTATGCGTTCGACAAAGTCGTCCCTCAGGCGTCCATCTTCGTCGTGCAACTCGGCCACTGGATAACTGCCTTCTTCTCCATGACCTTCGCCACCAACGCCATCTGTACCGGTACGCGTCACCGGGAATCGTTCCCTTTTATGACTCTGAGTAGCGTGGCTGTTGAATTGACGCGCTCTCGATTGCAGCACTGGTCGCTTACCGCATCTGGGCCATCAATCGCGCGCATCTGTCTTTCAGGCATCGTCGGCTCAGGCCCGTGATGGTCCTCATCGTCGAGTCCGGCGCGATATACTCGGCGACGCTCCTCGCGCTCCTCATCCTCTACAACGTCGACTCCTGGTTCCAGTACGTCATCCTCGACGCCGTCTCGCCCATCGTCGTGAGTACCTTACCCTCTCCCCTCCCGACTCCCGCGACTGACTGCGTTTGGGGGCGTTCACACCTTGCAGGGCATTGTGTTCTCGGTGATCATGTTGCGCATCGCGACCGGCATGTCGAACGTCGAGGGCGAGACTGCCCTCGCCCTGGTGGAGCCGGCCGGTGTAGCGAGCGGGATCCAGCTGTCGCGCATGTCGTCGCGCATGTCGTCGCGCGCGGATAGGAAAGACTCGGCGGCGGATGAGAGCGTTTGACGAGACTTCTCTCGGCCATGACATCCGTATAACGAAACCTACAAGCAATAGATATGCATTCAGTCGTCACCGCTGACGGTCGTGCTCGCGCCCGCCCAAGCCTCCATGTTCCAATAGATATGCATTCAGTCGTCACCGCTGACGGTCGTGCTCGCGCCCACCCAAGCCTCCATGTTCCAATATCATCATAGTACAGTAGTTCCGATGTGGGGGCGTGCCAGCTGCAGTGGCCGTACATACAATCGCTCTCGATACTTCCGATCCCACTCCTCTGCGCTGCGCATGAGAAAGAAGCAGAAAGGCCAACCTACAAGATCCGTCCAGCTGAAGACTTGTAGCCGTCATCACAAGGCCGGTAAAGCGGCGGAGCTCGCCATCTTGATCTGGTACAGCAGTCAACCGCAAACTCGGCACGCTTCCGCCGACGTCCTCGGACCCTCGTCAAAGCACGCACCTTGTGCTCATCTTCCTTCGAAATCGGGCCTGAAGCGGCGCCGAGCTCCATATCGTTCGCGTCCGATTCATACTCCGAGCCGGGCGTGGACGCGTCGCCGAGCGTGCCAGGGACGGGGTGCACGAACTGGATGGGGTGGCGGGCCATGCTGAGCGTCGTCTGCTCCTTGCCCGACCCGGACATGCCGACGGACGAGCCGCGCACGGTCGTG